GTGTGTTCACGGCCCGCGTCTAAGTCGAACTGCACGGATCAGAAACCGTTTATTTAGATATTTTGCGTGTGATAGATTTGTAAAAAAAAAAAAAAAAAAAAAAATCCCCCAGTAAATCCATCCGTGTTCACCGTCTCTCAGGAAGTTTCATTTAAATATATTAATATCCGTTAGAAAATAAACTTCAGCAGAAACTCTAGAAATAAAACGAAATAATAATTATTTTAAAAATCAGCCAACGTTCAAAGCACTTCGTTGAATCGTCAGGTCATGTTTTTGACCGATGTTTGCTTTAAACGGCTGCTCATTATTAATGTAAGATGAACCCGTCGGTTGGATTGACTTGTTCTGACGTCACAGTATAGTAACCTTCCATTCAGTGGTATGCTGTGCAGTACAGCTTATTTCAAATGGCTTCTCCTCGTTCACGTGAGCCGAACTCAACACTGGCCTCAGTTGATCCGGAATCCGTTTTTTACTCCACCGTTCTGACGTTTCTGGTCCACGACGGGATCGAACTTCCTGAACACCTCTGGTCTCCACACTGAGCTGCACAGTCAGTGGCGCCAATAGATTCAGGAAAAAGGCGGGTTCGTGTTGTCCCGAGCAGGGGAGTGGCACGCGCACACGCATGGCCACACCTGTAGCTGCAGGTATGTATCCCTCCGCCACGTTGAGTTCTCAGGTCGGATATTTCCCTGAGACGCAGGGACTGTGACTTTGACTCATCGTTAACGAACAATAACATCTGAACTCATATCGGAAACTAACGCGCGAACTAATGACAGTTTTATAATCTTAAACATTCATCTCCAAAACCCAACAACTCACAGCCACGGTGACTGAAGGAATGACACGTGATTGGTCCAAACCCGACACCAACGCTGTCTCCACTCATGTCACCGGAACTAGGACCAGTTCGACCTGCAAACCTGTTTGTGTTGACATTACATCCAAACAGACTTACAGTTAGAGTCAGCCAATCAACAATCAGCTACAGTAAACTTACAAAATACATAATAAATAATAAATAATAAATAGGACAATTCCAGTTATAGCCACAGTAGGGCAGTGTTTCCCAAACCCTTTTTTCTGGGGACCCATATTTTAAAAGTCAACAGACATAATTCAGAAACTCCTGGGAAACATGATGCGAGACGACCCCCCCCAAAAAAACAGATCTCTTGCGACCCACCTGAGGGTCGTGACCCAGTGTTTGAGAAACAATGCAGTAGACCATAGAGTAAGAAGAGGTTCATGTTAGATGAATTAATGAATTCCACTTTTATACAACTGTTTTAATTCCAAAACAATTCAAATTAGCATGGCTGCAGTACTTACTGTACTTACTGTGACATTGAATGGGGGCGCTCTTCTCCTTCTCCAGGTTCTTACTGCAATTAATTAATTAGTTGTAAGAACTATTAACGAGACTTGACCAGACACACCCCTACAGGTCTGTACGACTGATTAATACCTAATAACGCCAACGTGGTTTGCTAACGTTGACCCGTTTCTCTGCAGAACCGGTGTCTGACGTGCTCATCAGTTCTGACGTCTCGGAGGCCGTGGAACACAACAGCACCGTGGTCCTCACTTGCACCGCCAAGGGCTCCTACCTGAAGTTCGCCTGGCTCAATGGCAACCTGCCGCTGGTGGCCGACAACAAACGCATCACCCTCAAAAATGTCAGTTATCGATCGACTTTAGCGTTAGCATCTCAGCGACGTGTCTTTGCTAACATGTGACCTGCGGTCCTCAGGCGGACACGTCCAGTACCCTGACCGTCACTGGGATCCTCAGGTCGGACCTGACCGGTCCAGTTTACTGCACTGCCACCAACAACCTGCAGAAGGAGAAGAGCGCCCCCTTCAATCTCACAGTCCACTGTAAGTACTGCAGCCACGCTCATTTCAATTGTATAAAAGTGGGCGGGGCTTCATTGATGATGACGACGTTGATTTAATTACAGCTTCAACTGCTGGTTTTTAAGTGCGGTTTTTCATCCATTTCAGTTTGATCAAATGTTAGCATTAGCTAAAGTGAAATAGTTCTTCTTTTTTTTGTCATGTCTTCAGTTAACTCTAACTTTTAGCTCTCACTTTTTTTAGCTGACTCTGGTTTAATCTGTAATCCCAAAGCTAAGGATTCCATGAGTTAAAGTCAACAGGTGGCGCTGTCCGTTTGAACAGCGTTTGACCCTGAGCTGCTGTGTTTGACTCTGATGTGGGATTGTTCTTAATCTGGGGTGTGTGTGTGTGTGTGTGTGTGTGTGTGTGTACAGCCCTTCCTCATGACTCAGCAGACTCACAGAGAAACTCTACAGTTCAGTTACTCATTACATCCCAGTAAAAGAACTCCCTTTCACCCAAAAAAAAAACACCTATTCCAATGAAATCGTTCAGCTGTGTCATAAACTTCTAGCCCAGCTGGGTCCAGTGTTTAGCAGCAGCACCGAGACACACTCTGTGTCCAGACAGGGGGCAGCACTGAACCCAAAGAACCCTGACCCCACACATTCTGTCCCACTGCTCCACAGACGGTCCAGACGGAGTGACCATCAGCCCCACGGACACGCCGCGGTACGTCAGAGCCAAGTCCAACTTCAACCTGTCGTGCTCCGCCCCCTCCAGCAGCCCTGCCGCCTCCTTCACCTGGTTCCACGGGGAGAAGCAGATGGAGGCGACCGGTCCCGTCCTGACCCTGGAGGTCATCCAGAAGCTGGGCTTAGGGAAGAAGGTGGAGGCGTTCAGCTGCAAGGCCGAGAACGCCAAGACGCGCCGCGTCATCGCCTCCTCCGCCGTCTCCTTCGCTGTGATGGGTGAGTCGAACTGGGAGACGCCGTCTTATCAGGGCGAGGGAGGCTGTGGTCAGTCGGAAGGTGGAGATAAGAAACACAAGGACACACACACACACACACAGCTGTGTGTGTGTGTCATATAAAAAACCATTTGAACTCCAGGAGACACACCCTCCAGAGTAAAACCTGCTGGACCATCGTCTCAGGTTCTGCCCTCCAGACTTTCTGACTTCTCTCTCTGACTGTTGTCACAGTCAGGACTGAGTGACGTCTGAGAGAAAAAAATAAATCTGTAAAAACCTCAGTTATATCACAGTGACTGTAGTATCACAGTGACTGTAGTGTCACAGTATCACAGTGACTGTAGTGTCACAGTGACTGTAGTGTCACAGTGACTGTAGTGTCACAGTGACTGTAGTATCACAGTGACTGTAGTGTCACAGTGACTGTAGTGTCACAGTGACTGTAGTGTCACAGTGACTGTAGTGTCACAGTATCACAGTGACTGTAGTGTCACAGTATCACAGTGACTGTAGTGTCACAGTGTATCGTATCGACGGTTCTTGCCGACACTCCAGTCGTGGTCACGGCGACCCGTCTGATAACCACTGCGTTCTCACCAACTAAAGCTCCGACCAATCAGGTTAAAAACCTTCATGTCTTTAATCTGTGACGTCCCGGTGTCTAATCGTCCTCTGATAATATTTGACCAGTTAAGAACGTCCACGGTGAATTCCTAACGCTGTCGTCTCCTCCGTCTCCAGACGCCATCTCTGGCGTCAAACTCACAGGTCCAGGTTCCACCCTCGTCGCAGGGAACAGCTCCACCAACCTCAGCTGCAAGGCTACTGCAGGCACCGTTGCGACTACAACGTGGCTAAAGGATGGTGCGCCTTTGTCTGCCAGCGGGGGGCGCCTGGTGTTCTCTGAGGACAAGAGCTCGCTGAAAATTCAGCCGCTGCAGAAAGAGGACGGCGGCGAGTACAAGTGTCAGCTGACCAACCCCGTCAGCAGTGAACACGACTCCTTCAGGCTGGTGGTCAACTGTGAGCAACACTGTTAACACACACGGCTAGGCTAGCTGCCGAATACAGTTACAGCACAGACCGTGAAAGTCTGCTAGTGCTAAAAGCTAACTTAGCTTCCCCAGTAGCCTGAAGGTAACCTTACCTTAGCAACATGCCACAGAACAGATGGAAATGACCAGAGAGTTAACGACTAATTGTTAGCCTGAAGTAAAAAAAAACAACTTAAACTTCAGTCTCGAGTTAGCACTAATGATTTACGTAAAAAATTTAAATTATTACGTTCATTTTAGTAATAAATAGGCAATTTAAAAGATGCCACAAAAAGTTGCTAACCACGCTAATCTTCTTTTGTGTCCAGTTGGTCCTGAACCTGCGGCCGTGCAAGGAAAAGACGCCGTGGAGGTCAACGACCCCGTGACGCTCACGTGCTCGGCGCAGTCGGTGCCTCCGGCCAGCTACACCTGGAAATTAAACGGCACGCTGACGGCGGTGAAAACGGCCGAGTACGTGATAGAGAAGGCTTCGTTCAAGAACTCGGGGACGTACACGTGTGAGGCGCACAACGCCGTGACGGGACAGAACAGCACGTACAGTCACACCCTGGCGGTCAAAGGTGAGCCACATCTCCGTCACCCGTTAGCTTCAGTTCAGTGGGCGTGGTACGTTAGGCTAACCTGTTCGATCAGTAACAAAGCGGCGACTGAAGCAGCTGCAGACAAACAGTACTGACCGTCTGTGGTACCAGGTGGAGGTTCTACACATCTGGACTTCGGCCTACAGACCAGTTGACCTTGACCTTGACGAACTGGTCCACAGGAGATGTGGTCCACATGATGGACACCATGTACCTTTACCAGGGGTCACCACACGGGGATGATGTTGACGTGGTGTTGAAGAGCACCCCCGGTGGATGTAATGAACATATCGCTCTGCTGTGTTTGTAGAAGAAGGAGATCTGGACGGTCTGTCAGACGGAGCCATCGCTGGAATCGTCATCGCGATCTTAGTGGCTCTGGCTGCTGCCATCGGCCTCACCTTCTACTGCCGACAGAAAGTACCGTGAGTACACGTTCACGATTACGTTCCCTGCTGCTACTGATGATGATGATGGGGTTTTGAGTTCAGGTTCTAATCCAGCCCAGACCCCCCCCCCCCCCCTTGACACAACAACACTGAGAATAATAA